CACTTGGGTTTTGACTCGGACCTCAGCTCCTACCCGTCTACCTCTCATGCCTAAACCTCAGTTCAAGCCCAATCCCAGCCCTTTCTGCTCCTGGCACCTAGTGTTTGCACTAGATCTCTCCTCAGGGTGAAGGGCCCTAAGGCTATGATTTTTTCCTAAGCTTGATGCTTTCTTTCCATGTGTCTTGGGGTGGAGAGGGGGTGGGTGGGAAGAGCAGCAGTCAAACATGATGAAAGAAAAGGGGCTGCAACAGCAACGGAGCTTCTGTTGGGGAGCAGCTGACTGGGAGCACCACGGAGAGTGTGCATTACAGCTCCTAGCCAGCTTGAGGTGTCCTTGAAGGAGACAGGGGTGTGTGTGTGTGTGTGTGAGCCCCTTGGCCCTGTGGGAGGGAGAAGCAGCTTGAGACTCTCAGCAGGAGGGCCCTTGAACAGTTAGCGATGCCTCTGTAGAACGCTCACAGTGACTCCACCACTCCTGTCTCCCCGCCAGCTGCATTGTGCAGACTGCAGTTGGAATTGGCAGCTCTGCTCCGGAGCCGTGGGTGGCTCCTTGTCTTTGGCTGTAGACTTGAGGTCACGCTTCCGTGCACTTGTCAGCTTCACTGTCAAATTCGCCTGGTGATTGCCCCGCATGACTGGCTCCCTTTCCCCAGTTACTACCGTTTCAACCCACAGAAGTCAAGCTCGAGAAAGGAAGGAGCTTGCCTAGCCTCAGTCTCAAGCTGAGGTAGTCCTGTTCTTATCTCCCTGATAGAGATAATATGACAGGCCTAGGTTTTACTTCATGTCTCTGAGGAGCCCTATGATAATGGGCAAGTTATTCAACCTCCCAAAGGCGCCCTGGTTAAGTGCTCAGCTGGTCAGTGGTTTGCATTGACCAGCCACTCTGCAGGATCAAAGACCTGGTGATCTGGTTCTCTGAAAATTTCCGCCTGGGAAACCTGATGGGGCCGTTGTGCTTGGTTCTATGGAGTTGTTATGAGTTGGGATCAACTTAATGCCCACATAGCAAGAACATCTGATCAACCTGAATCCATTTCCTCTTTTTAAAAGGGGGCATAAGGGCATCTTTCTTATGTAACGGTAAGCATGCATTGGAAGCATGCATTTAAACATTTAGCCCAGGACTTGCCTCAAAGTTATCTTTCTATAAACATCTGAGTTTAGTTGCTCTGTGGACTTCAGTTTCCTGAGCTGGAAAAGTAAGCGTCATCATCAGATAACCTTCCTGACAATGTTATAAGGAGCAAATGAGAAATGTATAACAGTTATGCACGATTCCATTGAAAACCAAAACACCCACCCAGTTGGCACGGGTTAACTCAGATTTCTGCTAACCTCTTGTGTGCCATAGAGTTCTCAGTGGTTAATTTTTTTAAGTAGATCACCATGCTGTTCTCCCGAATTGCCTCTAAGTGAGCACAAATTGCCTACCTTTCAGGGGGCAGCCAAACCCTTAACCATATTGGACATGTCCTTGGTTCCCCAAGTCAGGCCTTTGGAGTCTAGGTTCTTAACGTCTTACTTCTTGGAAAACTTAATCACAATTGTGGTGTTTTTTCTCACAATTGTGTTTTGTGCATTTCTTTCTATTCTCTTTTCCACCAATATAGAACATCTGTGGTAGGACTTCCGGTCTTCAGACCACGCTGACTATGCTAGTAGGTGCCTTGTTTGAGCCTGCACACAGCCTGCAGAGTGCTGCTCTGAGGTTCCCATGCCACCTCCTCAATCTGGTTGCAGTCTTCATACAATTGAGGAAGGTTTCTTTTGGGGTGTGGCCTGCTTTTCATAGAGGTTGACACTGTAGAAGCCAGCAGCTCACTTCTGCTGGCTCTGGAGCCTCTATCTGGTTTGCTGCTCTCTGGCTATATTGCCCGCCAATCCCAGGAGCCCTCAGTGGAGTGCTGACCTCAGATTCCTTCAGCTCTGCATCCATCAGCCTGTAGTCTTACTGCTGCATCTTCCTGTGTTCTGTTCATCAGCTCCTGTAGCTACGAGGCAGGAGAAGCCTCCAGCTTACATCTGACCCATGGACTTGACCTGGACTGGATTTAACCCCTTCTACAACGGTGTGAGTCATTTCTTGACATACATCTCATTCTATATACGTACACAAAATAAGTATCACTGGCTTTGCTTCTCTTGAGAACCCAAACTAACACACGTATGCATTCTAGCTCAGCAGGACTTGGGAGAAAAGATGACTGAAAAATACCTCAACAGTGGGACTCTACCTGCTTCAACTTCCATATCTTTGGTTAGCAGGTAGATATTTCAATATCTATGATGTGCCCAACAGCCCAGGTGGTCTAGTGGTTAGGAGCTGGGCTTTGATCCATGTGGTAGTTACATAATTTCATGTATAGAAGTGTAAGGGTGGAGTCTAGTCTGTCAATCAGGTCACAGCCTGATAATACCTCCTTGTGGGCATGGTCTTCTCATAAGGAGGATTCTGGGGACCTCCCCTGTCTCTCTGCTTTCACCTTCCTGTTGATGAGCCACACTGAGATCCGCTCGAGCCCTGTGATGGGGCCACCACCATTGGGTCCACACAACTGTGCACCCACTGGCCTGTAAACTTCCTGCATTCTACTTCATTGCACGTGGCTCTGTAAGTCCGAAGAGGGATTTATGGACTAGTATCAGACTTCTGGACTTGCGTTGGACTGATTTGGAATGTTTTATTAATGTATGATTACTTCTTGAAATCAAGTTCTTTCTTATACATATACGAGTGTCTCTGGATTTATTTCTTTGGGCAACCTGACCTAACATAATCTGCATGGTTGGCAGTTCGAAGCCACCAGCAACTCGTGGGAGAAATACTGGGCTTTCTACTCTCATAAACAGTTTCAGTCTTGGAAACGCACAGGGGTTGATTTACCATTGACTCGGTAGCAGTGAGACAATGTGCTCAAGGGAGCCCTAGTGGTGTAGTGGGTTACATGTTGGGCTGTTAACCAAAAGGTCAGCAGTTTGAAACCACTAGCTGCTCTGGAGGAGAAAGATCAGGCTTTCTAGTCCAGTAAAGAGTTATAGCCTGGGAGCCCCACAGGGGCAATTCTACTCTGTCCTCCACGGTTGCTATGAATCAGAACGGACTCAATGGCAGTGAGTTTGGACTTTGAGAGGATGTTCCTGGTACATCAACAAGACAGACTCAGTCTCAGACTCATGGATCTTATATCTGTGAGAAAGATAGCACAAAATAAAAGCAGATTTCAAAATCATTCAAAATGCAATCAATCCAATACACCCACATAGATCCTCCAGATACCTGGTCCAGTCACAGCCTCAACTGATATGACCATTTGAGAAAATTATATTCTTAGTTCCCATGTCAAAGTCTATCTATATCACTTGCACCCACGATATCCTAAAGGTTGGTCAGCCTTGGGGACACCAGCAGCTTTGGGAGAATGTCTCCAAAGCCACACTTGGCCAGCAAAGACAGATTTCACAATCCCAGTCAGCAGCTGCTTCCTGAGCATGCATCTCCTACCCATAGTGTTTCATTTCTTTAACTCTACCTTCCACCCTACATTGTGGAATTCTGAATAGAGAAAGCAAGTTGGGTTTCTGCCAGCATGAAGGCCATGTCCAACAGGGGCATAGTAGGACAGTGCCAGGAGGGTGGTCCTGGGAATTATTCTCCCCTAGAAATCAGTATGGAACACAGGGACTCCCTGGCCCTAAGGCACCAGGATGGGCCAGTAGAATAGAGAGGAGTAGAGGTATATTCTTTGGTTTGTTCAACTAGATTAACCTCCTTTGTGGTTACAAAGCCAGACCCATTGCTGTTGAATGGATTTTGACTCACTATGAACCACGTGTTAGAGCATAAAACACCCTCACTGGGTTTTCTTGGCTTTAATGTTTACAGAAGCAGATTGCCAGGCTTTAGGTCGGGTGGTTCAGCCACAAGCCTTTTGGCTTATAGTCCAGTCCCAAGCACTTGTGCCACCCAGAAACCTCTTCAAATCCCTTGCCATCATTGTTGTCGTGTTCTTTAGAGCCTACAAATTTGAGAACATACATGATGGTATGAGAAGCCATGGACCAAGAGGTATATGAGTACATCTAGGAAAGCCTCTGTACACTTACAGCCACGGGGTGTGTCAACACGCTTTGCCTCGGCTCAGCCCCGGTCCTCAGCGCCAGGTACTCAGCGCTCTTCTCTGTACGGCGGGTGCCCTGTGACTCAGAACTCAGACAGAATTCATTCTAGCCCACACCACCAGCTTTGCCTCCCCCAGCCCCGCAACCCCATCAAGGCTTACTTAGGAGGCAAATACTTTATTGATGTGCAACTTGCAGGGTACACTTGGGAGATGCCCATGTAAGGTGACCAGATTTTAACATTGGTAGAGCGGGACAAAAGCGGGACACCATTGATAAACTCATATCCTGGCGAAATAGCCACATGGCAGCCGAAAACCATATACCCTAGCTTGTCGTGCATTCTTTCCAAACATCAGGACTTTTTAAAAATGCCACGGGACACGGGAAACATTGTTAAAAATCGGGACTGGAGGTCTGGTCACCTTACCATATGGGGAGGCATTTAAGGGACATCTTGGAGCAGAGGGCCCTGGGGATGCTGGTGTGCTGGCAAGTGCATACACACCTGAGGAAGACTACTGTGTGTTCGTTGGGTGCATTCCTGTCCACAGGTGTGTGTTTATAGGATGCATGACTGGATAGGAATATATTATGTAGGTGTAAGGCATACCTATGCTTGTGAGAAAGCATGTGTACTCTTAGTACGGACACTCCAGAACACGTTTCTATTGAATGTACAGTCTTGAGGCCTGTGTGTGTGAAAGAGAGAGAGAGAGAGAGAGAGAGAGAGAGAGAGAGAGAGAGAGAAGCATGTGGAGTGAATTTGTGCTATATGCCTACATTTCTGGCTGGTCACTACAGATCCAATTCACTCCCCTCTCTGTGACCTAACAGGCAGATTCTCAGCAGACGGGCTCCCCTATCCGTCTGCCTTCATTTGGAGGTATGGATCTTGGGAAAGAGGGAAGACCACTTTGAGCCTGAGGCCCCCTTTTGGCCGGCCCTGCCCACCTCTGTCTTGGAAGTCCCTTCCCCAGGCTCCTCCTCCTCATCAGCATCGGCCAGGCCCTCGGGCATTGGCCACTCCCGGGTCTCCCACTCCAGTTTTTCTATGCGATAAGCGATCTTGAGTGCACTGGACTCCAGTTCAGCCAGGAGGCGGGCGAACTTCGTCTGCAGCTCATCCAGCTGCTCATCCAGCCGCCGCAGCCGAGACTCTGTGGCCTCCTGCAGGGCGATCTCCGCAGCCTCTGCATTCACGTCCAGCTTGTTCATCTTGAGCAGGATCTCCCGGCCCTTTTCCTCCATGACAGCCTGGGCCTGTGGGTACTCACTCAGCACCTCCCGCAGGTCCTCCTTGCTCAGACAGAACAGGTCTGAATAACCCAGGCTCTTGATGTTGGCCGTTCGTCGGTTCCCAGACATGTTCCCTGTGGTCCATGGGCACACAGTTCAGAGGATAGTTAGTTGTGGGGATTGGGGGTGGTGGTGGTGGTGGCGGCATTTTATTCCCAAATCAAGACCCTTAACTCCATCTGACCTCATCTCCTGTCTGATTAATGCTTTCATTCAGTAATGATGCCCAGGCCTTGTGTTGGGCTGCTGCAGCCTAGCTCTAAGAGTTCAGACATTGAGGTGGAGCGTGAGTTACAGAGCAGTGTGACTGGTGCAGGGTAGACCGGTGTGTAGTAGTGTGGGGAAATGGGCAACGAGCCTCAAACAAGCCAGGAAGCAGGGGGTCCTGGGAAGGCTTTCTTGGGCTACCTGAGCTGAGTAGGAGCTACCCAGGGGAAGACCCCAAAGCCCAAGCTGACTGCCAGAGCAACCCTATAGAACAGGGGAAAACTGCCCCTGTGGGTTTCCAAGACTAACATTTTATAGGTGTGGAAAGCCTCGTCTTTCGCCCATGGAGTAGCTGGTGGTCTTAAACTGCTGACCCTGTGGATCACAGCCCAACAAGTAACCACTAGGCCACCAGCGCTCCTAGGAGGGGGAGAGGAGGAGGGGGAAAGGTGGAGGAAAGTCTAGGCAGAGAAAGGAGCATGAGCAGAGCATTGGTTGTTATAAAAAGAGTTAAATGGATGTAGAAAACAGTAAGCAGTTCAGCGTGGCAGGAGTCTAAAGTGTGAGAAGAGTGGAGAGGAGGAGAGGGCGGGCCATACTGGGTCTTGAAGCCATGGCAGAGCTCAGACTTTATATGCTGAGAGCAGAGGGAGCTATTTTAGCAGGGGAGCTGTATATGGTATCATGTGTGCTTTAGAAAGATGCTCAGAGATGGGGAGGCAGCTAGGTCAAATGGTGGGGAAAGGAGATCCCTTGCTAATTGAGCACTTACTATGTGCCACCCAAAGTGCTCAGTGCCCCACCCACATAGCTCATTTAATCCTCACAAAGAACATATTGGGTTTTTAATTCCCATTCAGGTGAGGAAACTGATGCCTAAAAAGGGAAGTGAATCCTAATGCCACGACCCTTTAATACAGTTCCTTAGCTTGTGGTGACCCTCCTCCCCAACCATAAAATTATTTTCATTGCTACTTCATAACCGTCATTTTGCTACTGTTATGAATTGGGCAACTCCTGTGAAAGGACTGTTTGACCACCAAAGGGGTCGCGACCCACAGGTTGAGAACCACTAGAGAACCACTGCTCTAAGGTCAAGTAAACCATGATAGCCTGTCTGCAGCGTGTGGAGGTGGAGGAGGTCCTTGCAGGACAGATGGGTAGCCTTCCAAAACACTAAACTGTGGGTGCTTCTGCTGAGAGAGCCCTGGAACATCTGAGCATCAACGAGGGTGTGTACATCTCCTTTCCAGGGAGCGGGCTTGTTTTTTGTTTTAATCTTGAATCAGACATAATAATTCCCATCGCACATGACTGATAGGCAGAATAAACAAACAAACAAAATGGGGCCATCCCAGAAGTGATGTTAAGAGAAAATTCCCTCTGACTTCCCTCCTTTTCCACTTGGCTACGAGAAATCTGTTCCTTCAACTTCCTTACCACACGTGTAACTTTCCATGTTTCCTAACCTCTCTCCGTGCTTTGATGTCCTTCTTCTGCAAAACCTGAATCGGGAGTATACCTCCCTATGCAGTTGTGAGAATGGAATGCGATGACACAGGTGAGCCACTTAGAACAGTCTAGTAAGCATGCAGTATGCGTGAATGATCTTCACTGTGGTGGCAGCATGGTTACCGGCTCAACGACTGCCTGAAAAAGTGGAAGGCCCTCGACAGGGTGGATTGACACAGTGGCTGCCGCAGTGGGCTGCAACCTACGAACAATCGTGAGGCTGGCGCGGGACTGGGTAGTGGTGTTTTGTGCTGTTGTAAATGGGTCACTATGAGTTGGAACTGGCTTGATGGCACCCCACAACCATCACTAGCTGAAAGGTTGGTTGTTTGAACCAGAAGCACCGCAGGAGACAGGTCTGGCGCTGAGCTTCTGGGAGAGCACAGCTCTGACAAGCCTCTGGAGCTGTTCTCTGCACACTGGAATCAGAATTGACTCACCGGCTACTCACATCCTCCTCCTCCTCCTCCTCATTATTAGGGCTTGTCACTTCCACTATTCTGTCGATGCCTCGGGTCAAAACCCCAGAGCATGTCCGCCTCCTCTGGAAAAGACCCACCCTGTTTACTCCCCGTGGTCCTGCTTCTTCTCAGGAAACAGACCCTGCTGTTTCTGTGTCCTGCTTCTATCCCCAGCCCTCTAATGACTCAGGCATGGGCTATGTTTCTTTCATCGGTAGGTCCTGATGTACCATCTACTCCTGTCTTCTGCTGCCCTCACTCCTTGCCCCCCCCACCTCACCCCTGCCATCAGCCCTGCCCCAGAACCAACGTTGGGATGCCGACCTTTGATGTTGATGATGCTGATCTCCCCAAAGTACAGCCCCGCACCGAGCACGGCATACTGCGTGACCCCGTCGTCCGCCACCACGGCCAGCTGCCCCTCGCGGATGATGTACATTTCTCGGCCGATGTCGCCTTTGCGGCAGACATACTCGCCGGGGGAGTAGGTCTGTGGCTGCAGCTTCAACACCAGTTCCTCCAGCAGGCTGGCCTCACAGTTCTGGAAGATCTGCACCCGACTCAGAGTGGGCAGGTGTACCGAAACGGCCACTTCTGCCCGCAGCCGCTCCGGCAAGTGTTGTAAGATGGCCACCTCATTGGTCATCTTCTTGTTGATCTGCAGGTGCTGGTACCTGGGGGCAGAGGCAGTACCAACTCCTCACCAGCCCACTCTATGTCTGCCTCCGCCCCCATCCATCAGGGCTCAGCTCAGCAGGAGCCAAGGGTTCAACCACACAGAGATGGCACAGGTCGCCCACCATCTATTCTCTTGGTCACAGATAGGTTTGAGGTCTTCTCCCTCCCCCAGGGCGCAGACAGCAGGTACGATACCCCTTATTCCCCATAGGCCCTACCCAATGTTACTTCAGTCACCGAGACTCCTTCTCTAGACCCTCTCCATCATAGCCAGTTATGTGTGGCTTCCATCTTGGGGGTCCCCAGTATGTACCACCATCTTTGTGTCCAGTCATTTCCGGAACTTATTGTTCTTCCATTCTCATCCCTGGGGCTACCAGGCAGAGGAAGTTCCCATTCCTTGATGGCCACATTAATCTTGAGGTCACCCCTTGGGTGAGGCCACTGTCTCTCTAGGCCTCTCTGGTGGAAGAGTGCATCTTGTCAGTCTCTTATCCACCTTCTCTTTAGGCCAAGACTCCTTGGCGGAGAGAGCATTCTTTTGCAAGCCCTGCCCATTGAATGCCACAAGGTGGCTGCCCTTCCTGGCCCAGCATTCAAGAACACCTCCCCTGGCCCCCACCTCCCAGGATCTACTAGCAACCCCCTTCCATTTCTGGTCTGCGACCCCAGCGGCCTCACCAGTCAATGACGCGGCGCTCCAGCCGGCGGTTGACATGCTGCAGTTTCATGTACTTCTTGACCAGCGCGTGGTCCGGGTAGAACGCGGCATCGGCGGTGTTCATGTTGTAGATGACTGAGCTCATGCTCCCCATGATGGTAGCAAATCCCATGACGGCCAGCAGGAAGTCACCGACCATGAAGAGGTACTCCTCCTCCCGCGCCGGGAGTGGCGTGTCGCCCACAGTGGTCAGGATCAGGGTGGAGAAGTAGAAGCTGTACAGATACTGCCGCCGCAGGCGCTCGAAGCCAGGCTGCACTGGGTCTGGGTAGACCCATGCGTCACGCCCAAAGCCCAGGTACCGGGACAGGGCAAAGTACAAGCAGCTGTTCCAATGGATGACGACAAAAATGTAGATCATCAGCTTGGCGATGCGAAAGGCGTTTGGGTAAGCCGTGCGGGTCTCGGTGCGGTCGAAGGCCTCGAAGAGGCGAGGCACGCGCAGAAAGCGGTTCAGTCGCAGCGTGGGTGTGTGCGGGCCCAGCCGCAAGTAGGTCAAGTCCGTGGGGACCAGGGAAGCCAGATCTAGCACGAAGCTCCATGTGCGAACGTAGCGGCTGGCGATCTGACCCCTGTCCACCACCAGGATGCCCTGCTCCAAGAATCCTGGGAGAGGGGGAGGGTGTGTGTGTATGTGAGGATCAGCCACAGGATGGGATAAGTCGGGGTCTTGTTAAGCAAAGAAGCAGGTGACAGGGCTATCAGACAAGGGGTCACTATCTTGTTACTAAGAAGTGAAGGCTGAAGGGCATGAGCTCACTGACCCGTGTGGAAGCGTGCCACGATGTCCAGTAGGTACAGCAGGTCGCTCGTGTAGTCGAGCACTAACCAGGCCACCAGGTAGCTGTGCTGTAGATCCGGAAAGCAGGCTCTGCCGGGTGGGCACAGAAACATTGGCTAGATAGCACCTCTGTGTGGCATGAGGGCGGCTGCCTCCCCAGGCCCCTCAGCACCCTGTTTTGGGCAGGGACTCTCACAAGCCCCACCCTTCCATGGGCCTCTCCAAGGATCACCCCCCCCCCCTTGGCTGGGCCTCACTGATCCACCCTCTTGGATCCTCAAGGCCCCTCCCTTAGCACTCCTGCCAAACCTGCACACAATGATGACGAGGTTGTACATGACTGGGAAGACCATTGTGTTCAGCCACCAGTAGTAGTAATCCCCGGATGGGTCCAGGACAGGCAGCGATTTCCTGTGGGACAGGAGGGGTTTGGGGGTGGCGTGGGGGTTGTGCTTCGTTGAGTCTCCAGATATTCCATGTTGTGGCTGTGATTGGGGGCGTCAGGAAGAGTGAGATCTGGTGAAGCAGATCGGGGACTCAACACAGGGGACCAGGCAATCTCACCTGGTCTTGGACGGGGCAGGGGGGCTGGACTCTGATGTCTTCACTTTGTTGTCCTGACTCATGGTTCTGTGCACTGGTGCTGGAGGGTGAGAGAGCAAAGGTCTCAGCCTGTAGGCAGTTTCCCAAAGAGGGGGCGAGTGCCTGGCAGCCCGCAAGTGGCTGCCCTCAGCTCCGGCTTCCGACTTCACTTGTCTAGCTTCTGAAGCTCTTAGCAACACAACCAGGGCCAGCTCCAGAGGGGGGCGGAGACAGCACACTCCGCGCCTCGCCCAGTCTCCCAGGACCTGGGCTGACACCTGCCCAGCTAAGCACTTCTAATGAGGTCCCTCGAGAAGGGGGGTGGGGTGCATGCCTCACTGGTAAGGCTGGGCTTTGTTTCTGCCAGATAGCCCCCGACCATCCATCCTGCCCTCTTCTCTGTCCTCCACCCCTAAGCTGAATGATATAAGGACCCTCCAGGTCAGGAGACTCGAGTTCCTGTGCAGATTCAGACACTCACTCCATTACCCTACGCCAGTTCCCGGCTTAGGCTTCATTAAGACGTTCATTTAACAACGATTTACTGAATGGCTCCTCTGTTAGCTGCTGAGCTAGTCTCTTGGGACAGGGATGCCTCTCACATCATATGTAAGCTCTATCTGTTTTCATTGTCTGTATTCTCATCTACATTCACACCCATCTTTATTCCTTCCTGCTGGTCCCAGCACAAGGGGGCATTTCTGAAGTCCTTTTGTCCCTACTTCCTCTAGTCCCTAGTCCATCAGGTATTCCATGTGTTTTCTGGATCCTCAACCTCTTTTAACAGTGACAGTGAGATGGGGTGTGAAGCACACTTACGGCAGAATGCACAGAGTGTGCACAGGCATAGCTGTAACGGTGGCCTTTGAGCTGACTCAGACTCACAGCAGTCCATGTATTGAAGTGTAGAACTATGTTCCCTTGGAAGCAGGCCTCAGTGCTTCTGGATGGATTTGAACTGTCAGCCTTTTGGCTATCAGTGTAAATTGTAATCCCTATGCCACCAGGGCTCTTGTGCAAGGCAGAGAGGCATGGAAACCTGTGCAAAGGCAGAGAGGCATGGGGGAGCAAGGACACATGAACTGTTTACTTTTGGAGGATTTGAGGTGGGGAGAGGAGAGACAGGAGGCTGGATAGGTGAGCAGTGGGCAGCGAGGGAAGAACTTTGTCAGCATTTGAAGACAGCGAGCAACTTGAAAAATGCCTTGGGGGCTAAGTGATATGGTTAGGTTGTGTATTTGGAGAGTTTATTTGAATAAGCATCTATAGCCCCAGATATTTGACTTTCTTTTCCGAAACTCTTTTTTCCTCCTTGGCTTCTGTGACACCATTGTTTCTTGATTTTCTGATGGTTTCTTCATAGCCTCTATCTAGGTCCCTCTGCTTTATCTCTTTTATCTTGGGTGTTTCTTTTTTTTATTTAATCATTTTATTAGGGGCTCATACAACGCTTATCACAATTCATACATACATCAATTGTGTAAAGCACATTTGTATATTCATTGCCCTCATCATTCTCAAAACATTTGCTCTCCAC